GCTCAACTGCCTACCCCTCACCTCCTACTTGGTACCCTTGCCCCATGGCTTGGAAAGGCTCAGCTGCTCTGGGAATCTCCATGGATGGGTTGACTTAGCTGGAGATGCACAAGGGCTCCCCACAAGGCTCTGCACACTGGGACAGGAGCAGGGATGGATGGGGGGACTGTCCCTTCCCCAGTGCATGCCCCATTCTGCACCAGCATCTCCCAACCCTGCTCCCCCAGTGACACTGAAACCTCAGGCAAGATCCATGCCATCTTACCAGAGGTGTCAACACACATGCCTGCATGGGGGTCCTGGCAGGTACCCTTCAGCCACCCCCACAAAAGTAACTGTGCCGCTGCCTTGCTAACATGGCCTTCACGTGTGTGCCAGCCCTGTGGGGGAGGAACAGGGGGCTGTACAGCATGGGCTCTACGGATGGACACATGGGCATGTGAACAGAGAGGCAGTGCTGGGGCTGGGCCACAGCCCCAGGCAGGAGGGGGAGGCAGGTGCTGTGCATTTTCCTGAACCCTGCTAGCCCAGTGCATCCTCCCAGCTCCAGGCTCCCGCTCAGCATTCGCCCAACCGCCTGTGTCCCCGGCCTCTGTGGGGCTAACAGAGGCCCATTGTGGGGCTGCGGCCAGTTGGGCTGGAGGGCAGCACGGCCCAGCAGCTCTGTGGGGAGGTCCTGCTACACACTCCCAGCACAGACAGCTGCTCAGAGCCCCTGCCAAGTTAGATTTCCTGTTGTTTACTGCCTGGATGTCAGCACTGCACTCCCGCCTCCTCGGCCCGGGACAGAGGGCCCTTTGTAGGAGGGAGCCCTGCCCCGCACTGGCCTCACCAGCCTCCCTGAGCAGCGGTGCCTCTGCGAGCCCCACAGCCACCTCACCTCGTCTTGCCTGAGGTGCCCCCATCGGGAGCCACAGGAGGAGCTCTGTGGAGCTGGGAGACAGGCACTCTCTGCCCACACGGGAGAGCCAAGCAGCAGCCCAGCTTGGAGCCTTAAGGGGCAGGGGGAGCTGGAGGGAGACATGGGCATAGGCCAGTCCCAGAGTCCAGCCCCAGCTTCACCTGGGCAGTTTCTTCCCCACCAGGAAATGATGGTCCGAAAGACCTGCGCACAGCAGGGTCTCCATGCCCAGCCCCAGCCTCTCATGGACTTGGCCCAGCACCACCTGCTCTCTGCCACCCCCCACAGCTCCCCTGTGGGCATGGGCTGGCAATCCAGTGCCCCCAGGCCAGAGAGCTCTCGGCCTGCCACAGGCTCCCAGGCCACAGCTGAAGGGCCCAAGCAGCCCAGTGCGAGCCACCTGCCCCTGCCCCACCCCACATGGAGCCTGGAGCCCCAGACAGCACCGCACTCCCATCACCCCCAGCACGGACCCAAGGTGCTCTCAGCTCACAAGCTGAAACCAGGGGAGCCCACTGCCTCCCCCAAGGGGCAGAACCAGGAAATGAGCCCTGACGCCGGCACCCAGCCAGTGCCCTGAACACGGCAGCACAGGGTGCCCCCAACGCCAGGCTGCTAGGGGCTAGCAGGGCTGCTTGAAGCGGTCACTTCTCCAGGCAGCACTCCCACCCCATCGGGCTCTCCCAGAGGCACTGTTGTGTCTCCTTCACATAGGTCCCTTCACACTTATCACTCCTGGTTCCTCCCTGGCCCAGGATCCTGGTCTCTGCCAGTCACAATGTCCCCTGGGGCTTCTCAGAGTCTGTTCTGGGACAGAGATGTGCCAGAGTCGTCCTTCCCAGCCCCTGGCCCTGCAGCACCGGCTCCCGCTGTCTGAGCTCCAGGCACGGTGCTGGGTTGGCGCATCCACCTCGCAAGCACCTTGCAGCATCCAACAGGCTCAGAGCAGGGGCCTGGCTCCTCCCCAGTGGTCTCTGGGAGGTCCGTGAACAGGGACATTTGTCCTGTTGCTCAAAGGACCTTCCCTTTGCCATGCTGGGGAGCACCACAGGCCAGGGCTGGTTCTGGTCCAACTCCCCCGAGATCCTGGACATGAGGCCCCAGCGGTGCCAGGAGCTGGGCGTATACTGAGCAGGCGCTTGCATGCAGCTGCTGGTTCTGCCTTTCCCCTGCAGAGCGAAGCCTGTCCGGCCCAGAGCTCGTGTCCAGCCAGGAACGCACCCCTGCAGCTGAGGCCCAGCCCAGCCAGCACTGCTGGACGCCGACCGCCCTTGCACCAGATGCCCTTCACCCATCCTGACCCCTGGTGCAGCGTGCCCCATCCCCGACAGCCTGGTCTCGCGGGTCCGTCACGCGTACCCAGGACGCAGCTCTCAGTCACGCCAGCCCCTGACCTCATATCCAGCAGGTCAGCCCCTGCCAGAGCCCCCCCTCTTTCTCCGCCCTGCAGCTGCAAACCCGGTGGGATTTCACCCCCTCCACCGCGGCCTCTCAGCCGCATGGTCCAGCCAGCGCGCAGGGCTGGGCCGGCTCCCGCTCCCGCGCACCAG